TCTTTCTTAGCCATCGCATTGCTAATTCTGGATTTCTCCGTCCGATAGGCCCAACCAATGTTGCTTTATTCATAGTTTTTATACTGTAGATAACAACTTTTTGGACGAGTTTCCTCAAATTACTTCCTAATACAAATTACAGTTTTGTCAAATTTCATAAGGAGGGGTATTACGCACCTCTAACCACTCAGTCACAGCGTTAAATTAATCTGAGTAGTGTGTAAATAGTTCAACTCGTACTACATAGTATTTGTCGTCATAAGCAATAACCGCCTAGGTCGAAAACCCTGAATTCGAGAAAAAACGTTTTAAACATTTGGATCGTAATGTTATCCTTATAGGGAAACCAAAATATATTCGTCTATACCTTTTTAAATAGCCTAGCTGGCGGCGAGATGGGGATTTCACATACACATGGAATAGTAGTTGCAGCATACGATAGCATATATAACTCAACTCTTTCTTAAGTCGATTTAGGCGGTTATTGCTTATGGCCGCAGATATTTAACTTGCTACATTGTTTTTTATTTTTATAGTATACATCTACTTTTCTCGCTTGTTATAATCAAATTTTTCCAGCATGCTTACATCGTTTTCTTTCATTCTCTATCAATAGGTGTCATAGCAACATGAATTTATCTATTCATAGTCTCAACTACGCCAGTTAACTGTGTAAACTTTTTCCAAGCCAATTTTCAGTACAGACTTTTTCTCAAAGCTTCGCTTGGCCACATTGCCCTTAGCAAGCAGCACTCGACCCAACTGTCAACTGAACCAGTGGCTTATTCACCTACCAACAGCCACTACTGCCACTTCAACAACTAGTAACAGCCAACAGTAGTAGTTGTGTGTTACTTTTTCATACTTACCTCTTTAGCTTTGTACCTGTGTATGTATGTATATACATAATAACCACTGCTAGAAAGAGTAACACTTTTTATGTGCGCTGTGCAAGATGCCTGAGTGCAGCTTAAGCGCTTCGCAAAAAAAAGCGAAGTGTGAGAAATGAAAGTTGTAAAAGTTACAATTTTTTAAATTTCAAATTATAATATATACGCAACAACAAGGCAGCGAAAAGGTTAACTTTATGCACAAAAGCAAAATTTATTTTCTACCATTTTTTCGTCAAATTTATGTCCTTGAACTGTAACAACCGTTGCAGCCGACATAGCCAACACAAAGCTGGTGAAAAAACGTCGCAACAAAGGTACTCCACTTGTTGTACCAGCCAGGCAGCCTGGTCGTTGGTTGATTATGCGCTGCTTGCGTTTACGGGACGCTTGATGGCGGCCTGTTAAAAGGTGTAAAATGCTACACAAATTATGCAAATATAAACGTTACACGGCGTACATTTAAAAATTTCGCTCATTAATCTTTGCGCTAGTTAACATTCACCGAAAATCCAATGGAACCGACCCAACATGAATGACACAGCCGCTGCCGCCGAAAAGGGTGTGCTCCGTGTATTTTTTTTTTTTTGCATAACCGAAAAATTATTTATTCTCGCACTTGTTTGTATGTGTAGGTGCTGAAATTATGCGAACAACTGTTGCGCCGCCAGAAAAAAAAATTGAATATAAATTCAGGACGCTAGCAAAATACGCGACGACGACGACGACGATGACGATGGCGATGCTTGCGCTTGTTGCTTTGGCATATGGAAATTTAACCTTTCACAAAAGTTGGCGCTCAATGCTCTGCTCCTCGGATTCTGCCGCCCTCTTTCTCCACCATCCACCATCCACCATCAATCGCTTAGTAAGGTGCGAAGGCGGCTTTTTATCATTTCGCCACAACTTTGCTGACATTCGGCAACATATTGTTGCGTCGCACTTGGTGGCGTGCAAAAGCAACAAACACAACAAAAAATGTTTTGCAATTTTTCACAAAAGGCATAATGGCTTACGCCACATTAATGCTGGCTTTATTATTGTTGCACAAAGACTTCTTGTGTTGCAAACCAAAAAAAAAGTTTAATTCTCACAGTTATAGTAAGCAGTCACACAGGGCGTATACGTAACATTTGTTTTCATACGCATACTACCATTCCAACTACACATTGCGGTGATTTCCTTATTTGAGCGCGCAAGTATTTAAGCTCACGAAAGTAGTTATGCACTTCAAGAGTGTGCGCTTCTTGATGTGATAATTCTTCTTGTGTGGCTAATCTTCGGAAGCTTATTTGTGCCTGTAAGTATTGCAGTAGTCCGCATTTACATAAATACAAATTTCTTTGTAGCATTTATCTGAATATAAATACTTGTTTTGTTAGTTATGTAGCTAAAAGTAAAAGCTCTCAACCTTTGATAGGGAAAGAAAACTTTGTCATGAAATGTGTGAAAACTTTTGTCAACAAATCTTGATCTTAGCAATAAGCAAATAAATTTTTATCGCAAAATATAATTCTGTTTAGGCTTTTAAGCGATTTCGACCTCAAGGAAGCTTTAAAGTTGTCACTTCGATATATTTCGATGCCTACAGCATCTGCACAATTGACGTTGAACAACATCGCAACCTGATTCAAATTATAGAAGGTTTTCTCAGAGCCAATGAGGCTTCAGATTAGACAACACTCTTATATCAGATGCTGGAGGAGGTAATAAGAAATACGTTTCTCAGAAATAATTTTCAATGAGAGAAACTGTCTACATTATCGGTACCATGAAAGATTTTTAGACGGGTACAATAAGTCGGCATTGGTTGATTTTCCCGACAACGTGGTAAGATGATTTATTTCAGAACGATTTTCCGTCATCCCTCGTCAAGTTTGGTTTTGGAGGCAAATCGGTTTCGGCGTTGTGCCATCTTCAGTGTAATTTTTCGTTGCAAATACAATACGCATATGGGACATATACAACTATAGCTACAGAATTCATCTATGCCAATTTCAGGTATATTGGGTTCATAAATCTCATTTCATTTGATACCCATATTTTTAATAATTGCTTTAACTTGTGAAATAATTTGGGTTTGCCTTTTTAAACAAGTGGCAACCCTCTTTAATATTCTAAATATTCAAACTATGGATATCTTACCACCTCATATTTCAATATTTCATTTAACTCATGCATACTTTAATTAAATTCTAATTTCAAAACAAGTGGCAACCCTATTCCAAATATTTTAAAACCATAACCTTGTTAAACCTTTTTCGACTGACACACATATTGCAATACATATTTAAATTGTGTATCTAATTCGCTTAATATAAATTGAATTTAATTTCTAAACCATATGGCAACCCTCTTAATTAAAGTTTATCAATGTCAATGTCAATTTATGTCAATACTTTAAAATAATTCATTTGACTTATTAAATTATTTGTTTTTAAATTTTTACACAGCTGTAAACTCTCTTTAATGTTATAAATGCTCAACCTCCATGTTTCTTAATACGGCTTTGTTTGACGCCAATATTTCAATATTTCATATAATTTAATTTAATTCGACATTTCACACAGATAGTAATCCTGCTCAAATTATTTTTAAACCAAAACCTCGTAAAACCTTTTTCGTCTGACACTTGTATTGTGATACCTATTTAGATTATCTAATACTCTTAATTCAAATTGAATTTGATTATAAAATCAGGTGGCAACCCTCCTACAAGCAGCTTAGAAATAAAGTTTCATCAAAGCAATTTTAACTTATATTCATATTAAAGTAATTTATTTACCGTATTACTTATATTGAAACTAACATTGTAACAAGGTGGCAACCCTCTGAAAAATATTTTCAAACCCCAACCTCTTTCATCTGACATCCAAATCAGGATATACATTTCAATTTTCTGCCTTTATTTAAGTCGAACTTGCATTTTGAAACAGGTGGCAACCCGCCTACATATAATTAAGAAATAAAGCCTTTTCTTAAGCGTTTTATAAAGCCCTCTTAACCTATTTCAGTTTTTATGAATAGGGCCATAAATATATTAGTACTTAAAAATTCCACTAACCCAAATGAACTCTTGTATTTTTTTAGTTTCAATTGAAATCAAATCAGATTACGTACAAAGTATATATGTATGTATTTTTTGTAGCCAATTATTTTATTTTAAATCACTTTTACAATTTGTGCATATGTAGTTATTTCAAAACAAAAAAGTGCTTCTTTATGTAATTGTTAGCAAATATTGCACCGCCTTTAATTTAATAATTTAATATAAAATTTCTTTAGAAAGTTGCTTTCATCTCATTTCAACGTAAACGGAATTACAAATTACATAATCCAAACGAAGTTACTTAGATACTACCTAACCTTATGCAAAAGTTTCATATTAGTATCTATGAAAAACTTCTAAAACGTTCTACTCTGACAAAATGACAAAAAAAAAGCTCAGATTTAATAATATATAATAGGGGCATTCATTACAGAGCTGTCGGAGTGTACCTAAGGTATTTTATTTGTTAACTTACTTATAGACAATTACTCATGTAATATCATTGCACCATAAAAGTGATCTTGATGCCCCTAAAGAATCCTTATTAAGTCAAGATTTTTCATGGCAATGTAATTACTGTAAACTCTTTTGTCGGTGCATTGTATATTCTTAAACAGAACTTCCTTAAAATTTATTAGAAAAGCTTTAGGGTTGGAAGTCGCATGACCAGATTCACTTGGAATAAGGGTTTTTCAAGAGTATCTGACTTTGAATGTACATTCTATTATGGAATAAATATGTATATTGATTGATAAGTCATAAATAGCCATGAATATCTTTTCAACAATAATCTGCCGAGTCTGCTTGAATCCATCAAAATAACAGAAAGCAGCGCATTTCATCGGCTTTGCGATAAGCTGGAAAGGAGCAGTTTAAAATCGTAGTTTAGTTGCAAGTGTTAATCAGATTTCCTTTCCAGACTTATTAAGGCGTATTGTTCGTTTTAGTTCAGGACTTTTTTTCTCTGAGACCACTTCTTTTCTCCGGGAGCGAAACGCAAAAACAACCACATGGAAGAAAAAGTTCAGAACTAGAACGATTTTTTAGAAAACTTAGGAAACTTTAGATTTTAGAAAATTTTTATTTCAGCTGCTCATTGTGTTTTACCCTCCTCCGATGTGTATTAACTTAAAAATTAAAGCTCTACTTCGATACTTATTTTCACTTTCGGAAATGTAAGCATAGAAAGCCTTCTTTGGGCTTTCTAGTATATATAAATTCAAATCGCAGTGCATTGCGTTTTCTAACTAACTACGCGCTTAAACAAACAAAAAGTTATTTTTAAATTCGGCTAAGTTCTTATTTCGTGCATTTACTGAGCTGCCACTTTCACCTCACCCTCCGACTCCAACTCATTTCGCTGCCTCTTAATCCAGCACAGTATATTCACCCAAATGAAACCGCAAACACCCATGTAAATCACGCGAAATCTCGGCGCGATTAAAATGAAATTTAATGTTTGTACCGGCAGCCAAAAGATACAGGAACGCAAAAATGTGGGAACGAACTTCTCGCGCAACTCCTTGAAGGGATCCTCTGCGCGTTCCATAAGCGACATGCCTAGAAATTCACAAAGTGAAAGTCAGATCTTTTACTAAAATAATTATTTATAATTACAATTACAAAAAAGTATATTGCTTATTATGATTCTGAATTAGCATTTACTTCTAACCTGTGTAGAAGACAGTCAACAAGTATGGTGTCAACACAAATTGATCCAAGACCAGCTTCTTCACGATTATGGGCTTAGCAGTTCCTGGAAACGTTCTATCCAACCATTTGTACCTAATTTCGTGTTCGTTAAGAAAGTAAAATTTTTAATTCATCTATTTTAGCAAGCAGATATGTTAGAGTATATATGTAAGTAAACATATTCATTGAGGCGTATTTATGCGACGCAGTGCATAGACATTCAGATGTGCGGAATAGAAAATATATAAAGCCTACACTAAAAACTTTTTCTTATGTGGAGCTACCAAAGACACGAATCCAGCAGCGTCATTGTGCTTTAGTAAAGTGCATGTGTGTTGTGCTTTTAATGTGATTACCAAAAGTTATTGTTAGTAATTAAAAAGTAAAAATGCAAAACCAAAGGTAACTATAAAAAAAAATGTAAGTAAACAGAAAATTCCACAAATGTATACAAATGAAACTGATTCACCCGGAACGAAACTAAAAATAGACTACTCGCTGACTGAGAGATTAAATGAGGACGACTTTGAAAATTTGGAATTATTTCTATGAACCATAGGGAGGGTTGAATTATTGGGTGTAAAAAATATACCGCAACGAATGTGTAAGTGGCCCTTCAGGAGGGGATCGACAGCTTCAAATTTATTCGGACACTCTAAGGGGCATCCGGAGGTGGTGTCGCCTTAACACTGTTCTGCGGGGACACTGGATTTCCTAATGTTTCAGGTCTACAAAGTGTGCACGTGTCTTTGGTGCGTACTTTAGACTAGGAATGCTCCTGGTGGACTGCAAGGACGACAGTACGGCAGAATTCTGAACGAGGTAGCCCCCAAATTGGTTGGCGAAAAAATTTCCCTCCACTGAACCCTCCCCGAGGGTTTCGACTGGAATTCGATAGTCCAGTATATTCTGTGCGTTATCAGAAGTATATCCAGCTAAGATCTAGGAGAATCGCGAGAAGGCTCGCTGCTCTTGAATAGCACAGCCCATCGCATTGCCCTTTGATCACGGTAGGGAGGTTTCCCTCAATCCAGGGTGTTAAGCGGACTATGCCTATTGGATGGCATGGGAACGGATTGTATTTCTGCGGTGCCTCCCTGACACCGGGTCGCCTCAGTAAGTAACCTACCAACGGTTACCTTAATTATGGCATGGGGCGCTACCGTGGCGGACGGACTTTTTCCCCTTTCCACTCGCTAGGTCGCTGTGCCAGGCCATCTCGGCTTCGGTACAGCCCGGCGCTGTTTCTGCTTCCACAAGTGTTTAGGCGCGACTGCTAACACCGGGCGTCTAAATTCATGCTATGTACTCTCCTCCTGCATGGGCAAACATTTCCTTTATGCAATTTATGAAATTTTTGCACATGCACTTCTCAACTTCCATGTAATAAAACTTTCTTAAGTTTTATTTTTATGGCTTGGCCTAGTCTGATCCATCCTCTGGACACTGTTGTGGAGTTTTTTGAAGACTCTGCATCACTTACAATCATGCAAAGGTGGTAAACGGACTTTACCATTGGCCACAGCTCCTACCCACCTTTTCGCACTAATAAATACTTTTTCTTTTATACACACAGAAAACATACTAGTCTTCCCTATTTCCTTGGTCCACTGATGTTTCTTCGTTTTTCCTTTCGGAAGCACAGTCGGGCAGGAAACGGAGAGGCCCGCATTACGGGCATCGGTAACGCAATCAAGGGCTTCCTCAAATTGTTCCCATGAGCTAAACTTACCGAGAGAAACCAGAAGCCTAGCTTACTGAGAGAAGCGTTATTGAGCAGATACCCCAAAAGTGAATCCCTAAACTTAGTCCAGTCGGAACAGCAAATATTTTCAATCAAAAATGTAAAGGCTTATCAAACTGTCGCCACAAAATAGGCAACTTTACTTCAATTTGCTCTAAAAAGCAAGAAGATTTTAAGTGCACAGTGACTAATGGAAAAAATTTTCCGGAATATTTTTGAATTTTACGCGAAATTTTGTTGTTACAAATGCTAAAATGAACTTTTCGCAGCCTGTAAAAGTTGGAAGTAATAAAGCTCGAATTTTGTTTCGGAAGCTTTTACTCTAACCGGCAAAGCAAATTCATTGGTGATTGTTGAAAAGCTTAAGCAGTTTATTAATACCGGTATTAACTACAATGAGAGAAAAATAGTCAAGTGTTTATTTAAGTAGCCAGAGAGAGTTTGCTCAAGCGCACAGATACCCACTTTTTAAACGATTTTACAATAAACAAATGACACGTGCACTTCTCTGAATGGGGAGTATTTATGTATGTATGTATGGGCAGCGACATTGATAGTAAAGTTATTAAATACTCAGTTGTTGTATATTTAAACGTAAGCATGTAAGAACTTTTGTGAGCAAAAACACTAGTGAGTGATAAAAAAAAAGAGAGAGCAAGTGCAGGGAAATAACAAATGATAACAACAATGGTGCAGACATAGCGCACTCAGTGATGAGTGAAATTTATGATTATTTTATTTGTGCGCCACACCATGCCCAGTACAATGCTCAAGTGCAAAATTTATTTTAATTAAAGCCAATAAAAGGGCAATGTAAATGGAAAATTTCAAAATCAAGGCGAGCAAACACACAATTGGCTGCAAGAGGCCGTAAAATTGCGTAAGTGTAATGAGAAACAAGCATAAAGTTAAAAAAAAAACTTAAAGCGCTTAATGTAAATAAAGAAATGATTAAATGTTAGGGGTATCCACAAACTTTCGTCTGTCAAAATTATAGAAATTATAAATTTTTTTATAATTCAGTAGTGATTTTGTGAATACCCCTTATGCAAAAATAAAGGAATAAACAAACCATGTGTAGAGTGTTGGCGCGTAAACGGTTGTGCCCATTATTGCATACCGACCTATTGTGGCATAATCGATATCCTCTTTTTCCGCATCGTTTTTT